TTGAGGAATTATTAAATAATATTGTTTGTAACCTGCCTCTCTAAAAATATTTAATTCCCAATTACTTTGTTTGCAATTGGTAGTAATCAGCCGCCCCTTCTTTAAGCCTCTTGCAGTTTTAGTGGGTGCAGCGTAGCTCAATGTGAACTTTTGCTACGCCTGCTGCACGCTCCGATTAAACGCAGGGCCCGCCGGTATTACTGCTTTCTAGCATGTGAACTGTCTGAACAAGGATGATCATTTGTTAGTAAGTCTGTTTTTTCAGATAACAAAAATTGTCTTGTTTCAGTTGCGCCATTTGGGGCTCACGTAAAAATGTAACTTGGTGTGAGTTATCTGGCTTGGGACGGGCAGTAGGAGTGTCGGGGCTGGTGACCCAGTGGGCAGGCTTATATAATATAACTGTAGGGAACACAGACTTTGAAAAGGTGCATGTTTATGATTTATCTGAGAGGGAACTTTAGATTTGTGGTTGGTTTTTGGTTAAAACTGTGTACATACTATAGAAATCTGGAACATTCAGCACTCTGAACTAGCTGAACTCAATCATTTCACGATTTCACAGTTGAGTTAAGCTCATTTGGCTAGTTCATTTTTTTTTTTTTAAATGAAATGAAAGGATCAGCTGACTGATTCAGCTGTAAATAAACTTTTTGTTTTAATGTATAAATTAATGTATAAACATTTAAATACACTATAAAATGTGTTGTAGGCAAATCATCTTGCATTCAGATGCTGTAGCTGCTTCTTTTGGGGGGGTTTTTCCACTCCTGATCAGTCCTTCTACCTCATCTTGGCACCAGTGAGGCTCATTGTGTTAAAAGTGCCCCAGATTTTAAAAGTTTCATGCCCTCTTAAACTGATTTGTTACTGAACAAAAATGTGGCTAATAAGGCTGAGCTCAACAACCACTCGACCTTTTACTTCTCTCTGGCCTGACTCTGTGAAGAATTGATAATGGCCAAGATGGATGTTTTGGGCTATAGGGACTTATCTGAACTGACCCTGATAAGACCTGTAGCATAGCAACACTGAGGCTCTGTGTGTGATTATTGACAGATGTCGGACATGGCAAAAGATAATGTCTGTGTGCCTGATTTTTCATATTATCAGTAAGGAAAATGATTAACTAACATGTTTACAGTGGAAAAGCATAGTCTGAGTCTGGCCACATTTCTGCAACTTTTTCCTTCCAGGTTTAACTTTCAGTACACAACGTCACATCCCAGGTCACTATTAATTCAATGAACTCATGGTGTTGTGCTTGTTCTAGCATTCACTAATAAATCTGTTTGGCTCTATTCTTCAACTGTGGTTGAATTGAAGAGGTCAGTGTAGTTGGTGTACACGTGAGGTCAGCAGACACAGCTCAGAGTAGGGATCTTGCCAAGTGTGGTGCATTTTAAGTGTTACCTTGCCTTGTCAAACACTGGTGATTGACGCAGCCAACTGACGGCTGATGTCACACAGGAACTTAATTTAAAACAAAACAAAGTCGACTGTGAAATTGGGGGAAAATGTCTGTTTGAACTGATTTTTGAAGCTTTGCAGCTGGTGTAGAACTTGGTTAGAGAGGGGGCTTGTTGCATTTTGGTGAAATCGGAGTCTTGACCAAGAAATATTTAATTTTTTTTTTAGTAGCTGTTAAAAGCTTAAAGCTCACTACAGATGAACAGAGTTGTTTGTCCTACAGCGGCCACTGTAGGTAGGACTGTGCACTTGAATTGGGAGCAATAAGAGAACAGAGTTCATACTGCAGTCTGCAATCTACCGATCCCTAGTGGTGGTATTTTACACAATGTACTAAATAATGATGTGGACGTCGGAAAGGCTTTTCATAAATATGAGATCTTTTTGAATAACTGAACTTGGTGTGTTTTGGATAAATGCATGACTGATTATATCTTTTGTGGAAAAGTTTGACTCCTAGGATGATTTTATTTGTGGTATTCCTTTTTATTGACCTAGAATTGGCTTCAATAATTTTCTTCAGTGGTCAAGGTTGTGGAAAGCTGGGTAAAAAGCCTGATCCTGAGTCAGCAGAAAGGGGTTTTGAAATCCTACAGTTGACCTGGTAACATGTATTGAGCCATGGATTAGCATCAACAAATCAAAATGGATTGGCAGGTGGCTCCCACTCATTTGAGCCTTTAAGATGGGCTTTGCTCCCACTGACTCACCTCTAAGGAAAGGCTGCTCCAATGAGGACAAAGGAGTCAAGTCCAAGAAATGATTAAAAGGGAACGAGTCTTTTTACTGTGGAAAACCACGATTAGCAAGCCTGTGCAGGCCAGGGGTGGTGGTGGCTTTAGACAGAATAGTTTAATTAAAGATGCAGGGCTTAGTTAACTCACAGACTATTGAAGTATATTTACTTTTTCATTCTCCTCAACTGAATGAATTTCCTTCTGAACACAGTGCAGTTGGGCCCCATCTGTAATGAAAAGGAGGGAGACCAGGCTCCAAATGAAATGCTCCTTCGACAGAGTAATTAAGTCCAGACACAAAGGGCTCAGCAGGAAAGAGTTTAATAGGGGAGGAGTTGGTATTCTCTTGGGGTTAGTCCGGTCCAGCAGAACTTCTTTGGACTGCAGGAAGGCAAGGCAGCAGAGGGTTCACTGGCCCACAGCCACGTCACACTGTGGGTAAAAAGGACTGGGATATTACTCATCTATTTTCTCTGCTGGTGGTATTACATTAACCAGGCCATTGCTTTCACATTAAAAACATCTTAACTAAAAGGATGTCCAGCAGAATCCTTGTAGATTTCTAATTTATAGAAGGCCTGAATGTCATAGAAACAAACTGGCTTGTATGATTGGTATTACTGGTATTGGTCCGCTTCAGTCAATCTCTATGGATGTCCATGCTGACGTCCCGATTAGATATGTTAGCACGTTGGAGAAAAGAAGGTATGTGGCATCCATAACACATTATTTTTTCTAATACTGATGGACTTAAGTCATGCACTAATGAGACATGAGTTTTTCTACATCTCAAGAGATCCCTCGAGGACTTTTGGAGTTCACATGGCTAACTTTTCCTGTATCTTTACCCATGTTTACTCCATTTCCACCCCCCACCCACCAACACGTACACAGTGTCATATAGTGGAAAATCAAAAGGACATCACCTCCCGAAACATTCTACTTTTAACTCATTACGTAATCTGCTCTCATTTCTGATTTGCACTTATGCACGGGTGATCGCATGAATCGCCGGAGCGCTGCAGGCAGCATGTGTGCGCCACGTGCTGTGTGTGTTGTGGTGACGGAGCGTCGTGGAGGTGGATGCGCTCTGCTGTCTGGAATAGCGTTGATCCTCTTAAATGATTACTAGCTGCGACTGGAGAGAGGCGATCTGTGTTGGTAACATGCGGACAGATGCCTCATCCCCACCCTCAACAAAATGTGCACACAGCATCTATGTTGAGTTACGCTGCAGGGAAGCTCCAGCTAGGAATATTTCCTTTAAGTCCTATTAAAGTCTGAATATTACACATTATCGGAAACTGCATACACACTGAAGACTGCAGTGGTCATGTAGATGGACCATCTTGAAAGGGGCTTCTTTCGACCCCAAGGGAGTAAAACCTGTAACAAAGTGTTTCTTACTCATAGCTAAGGCTGGGCCATATCATACCGTTCATGGTAATACTGGTATAATGTTGGGCAACCATAAGAAAATGAAATATCGCGATGTGAGTAAAACGCGCATGAGCAGTGCCTTTGTTTTGATACGCACATGGCAGCGACGGAGAATGAGAAGGGCGAAAGCGGATCGTTGA